GCTTCCTGTAGTCAGCCCCTGGTCAGTTTCAGTGGCAGCAGCTGAATCTGGAGCCAGTTCCAACTTACATACAAATTCAACTTAAGAACAAACCTATAGTCCCTATCTTGTACGTAACCCGGGGACTGCCTGTAATTGAATTGCGCTCCCCGCTGTCAGCTTTTTCTGGCCAACTAAACATTTTCATAGGTAGGAGTTCCTTGGGATATGAAAAAATATTTTAGGGGTTCCTCCATGGGTAAAAGGTTGGTAATCACTGGGCTAATCAGCTGAAGATGATTTGTTAGTGCCAAGCTGTGGCCAGAATGGATGATGTAGTGATCCAAGACACACATATTTCTAGGGGAGCTGAGAGGCTCCCGCTTTATGTTGACACATGACAGAGCCTGGGATGGAATCACGGGCCTTTAGATCTTCAGTCTAAGGCTCACCTCCACTGAATTACTTTGACTGCTGCAAGCAGGCCTGTCTGGCCTGTAATTCTCTGTCTGGATGTTGGCAGCCGTGCCACACAAAATGGACATTGTCATGCACTGCCCAGGAAGGCGAGACTGGCCTTTCCACAGCGCCCCTCCCTCACAGCCCAGAGCCAAGGTTCCCTCTAAGCCAGGCCTGGGCAATATAGACGAAAGTGCTGGATCCAGCCCACCAAGCCACCAGATCAGGCCTGGGAATGCAGGGAGAAGCCTCAGGCAGATTCCGTACTTTCCCCAGCCCCCGTGCACCACTGAAAAAAGGGGCTGCTGGGCACTTTGGCTATGTCTACGCTGACGGGTTCTTGTGCAAGAACCCGCAGAGCCTCCACACTTCCCGCCCACTCTTGCGCAAGGAAATTTACAGTACGGCGTGGTAAGAGAGGGCTTCTTGCGCAAGAGCTATTCTCTTTTCTAACATGTAAGCCCTCTTGCACAAGAGCTCTTGCGCAAGAGGGCAGCGTGGACGCGCAGCAGGGGTTTCTTGCACAAGAGAGCATCCATACTGCCATGGATGCTCTTGCACAAAAGCACGTGGTAGTGTGGATGAGTTCTTCCACAAGAGTTCTTGCACAGGAACCCACCAGTGTAGACATGGCCTTTGTGTTTCACAGCAGTGGGGGAGAAGTCACATGCCCTGTCCTTCTTTCTGGGGAAAGTAGGCCAGGACAAGACCCTTTTAGCCACTAGGCCTGTGCAGGCTGGAGTCTCCTCCTACCAGATCTCTGGCCTGCTTCCTGCAAAGCCTCCAACAGGTGCCTGTCCTGACTCCTCTGGCTTCCCCAGGGGCATTCTCAACTGATGTCACCCCCCTGTCATGTGGGAGTTGGGCTCATCCCAGGCACAGGTCAGGCAGCAGGAGCTGCGCTTACCTGGGCACTAAGGTGAGCTGCAATAAGAGAGGAGCCGGTGTTTCTGCCTGGCTTTGAACCAGGGACCTTTTGTGTATTAGACAAACATGATTGCCACCACACCACAGAAACACCCATGAAGTCTACTTTTTCTGGACTTAAACTTGGACATATGTTCTGTTACTAACTCTTGCCGAATGCTTTGGGGGGAAAGGCCGAGCAAGAACAGGGAATAAGACACCCGCCTCCCCCCCGCTACTTCTCTAGACTTGTGCTCCCAACACTGGGAAGGTGGCAGGGGCTTTGTGACGCAGGAGGGGTGACCCACGTCACCTCCCCAGCATTGCCCCCCTGCAGGGATGGACCTTTGGGGACAGGCCCAGACTCCCCGACCTCTCACCCAGCTCCTGTCACACTCCAGAGCACAGCAGCTCCCAGGAGTAGGGCTGAGCTGACACCCCCAAGGAATCACAAGGGCGTGTGGCACTGGATCTCCTGTCGCAGCAATTGCAGTCAGAGCCCTGCCTTGCCAGTGCCAGTCACAGCGGCCTCTGCACCTTTGACACCCAATGTACAACCATTCTCCATTTCCCTCCAGCCTCCCAGCCCTGGCTGTATCTGGCTCCCTGGGCACAGAAGGCTACAGCTCAGTGGGCAGAGGCTGTAACATGCACATCTTCCCCCAGCCACTGGGATTGTGGAGTTGGCCTTGAGGTTTGGCAGGGTTGGGAGGAGGGAGAAGTGCAGGAAACATTGATCATCTGGCTTGCAAACCACTTGGCTTTGCAGTTTGGGTTGAAGTCCCCAGGTGGGGGCCCGGCCTTGATCAGATTGGCCCCTTCCTGAGGGCACAGAATTAACAAGAGAGAATTCCTTCCCCTGCAGCAATCTGAGTTGGCCAAAGAGTTAGTAACAGGATATTTCTGCAAGAGAAAGCTCTTACAGGTGTTTCTGTGGTGTAGTGGTTATCACATTTGCCTAACATGCAAAAGGTCCTTGGTTTGAAGCCTGGCAGAAACACAGCATCTTCTCTTATTGTGGGTGCCCAGGTAAGTGCAGCTCCTCCTGCCTGACCTGGGCTTGGGATGAGCCCAACTCCCATGTGACAGAGGGGGGTGACATCAGCTCAGTGCCCCTGGGTGCCAGTCTTGGGAAGGGAGATGAGTCAGCTCAGGCACCTGTTGGAGGCTTCTGGATCAGCCTCCCTGTCCTCAGAGGCTGGAGTATGGGCTGGCTCTTCCTGCTGCCTCCCTTGTGTGACTGGCCCAAGGAGGAAGCGAGGCAGGAATGGGGCGGAGGAGGAAAGCCAAGCTGAGGGAGGCAGGGCAGGGCAGAAGCTCAGTGAGCTAGTGTGAGCAGAGCCCCCCCTTTGTTCTGCCAAGAGAGGGGCCCCATGGCTGAGCTGGCCCAGGTACAGGGGAGGTGAGGGAGGACACAGCCAAAGG